CTGTACCTCGACGTAGCATACACCAACCCGTATCATTTTGCCACCCCTTCACTTTCAACGACCCTCCCTCCCTCCTTCTTCCCTTGTCGCCCTCCCTCCCTCGCTGTCCAGTCGTGAACTCGCTCGTCAAGGATCCCCCCTCCTCGTTCAAGGCGAATCAAGAGTGCGTGGTGCAAGGAATTGCCAACCTGTTCACCGGCTTGTTCCAGGGCATGGGTGGCTCGGCCCTGGTAGGGGAAACCGTCATCAATGTGCTGCACGGCGCCCGCGGCAGGCTCTCCAGCACCACGGCCGGATTGACCATGCTTTTCATCATGCTGGGGCTTTCGCCCGCGGTCCGCCTCCTGCCTATCGCGGTCTTGACGGGCATTATCTGGTCCGTCGCCCTCCACACCTTCCAATGGCGGAACTTGATGCAGCTGCATAAAGTCCCTAGGGCGGACGCGGCCATCATCATCTTGGTCACCGCCCTCTCCGTGGTCACGAATTTGGCGATCGGGATTGCCGTAGGCGTGGCCGCTGCCTCAGTCTGGCACGTCTGGAGCAGCGGGCGGATGTTGACGGCCTCAGCCGCGGTGGGCGTGCCGGAGGGGAAAGTGGAAGCCAAGAAGGGAGTGGAGGGGGAGGTGGAGAACGGGGAAGGGCAGCTCCGTAAGGTGTACAGGGTCCAAGCCCCGCTGTTTTTCGGCTCGACGCGGTCCTTGCTCTGCCTGTTCGACTATTTGAACGATCCGGATGACGTGGTGGTGGACTTGAGCGCCTCGCACGGCGGAATTCAGGACCTGTCCGGTATCACGGCGTTGAACGAGGCCGGGAAGAATTACGAGGAGGTGGGGAAGAGTGTGACGTTGCTGGGTCTGAACCCGGAGGCCTTGGCGATGATCGAAGCCTACCCGGATGCAGCCTCGCATTTGCGGGTCCCGGCGCTGAGGAAACGGAAGGAAGAGAAGGAGAGGCACGGTCTGGACGCTTGCTTGGGCCACGACACGGATGTGCTGACGCTGGGGCCGGACGGGCTGGAGCTGGGCTTGGAGATGGGCGTGGAGAATATCCATCCGCCCATGTCCTTAGAGGAAATGAGACGCATCAAGCATGGGGAAGGGGGCCAGGCGTAGGAGGAAGTCTAGGTTGGGGGAGGCGTGACGCAGGTGGGAAAGTCCAGACAAATCACGTGAGACAGGCAGGCGGTCGAGTGAAATGTAGTCAATTGAAAACTTCAGGCAAAGAATGTTCGAAAGGAAGATCACGATGTCTATTGTTCTCTCTTTCGGGACTTTTGGGGCCCATCCCTATGTCTGCCTCTGTTGATTCTGAGCCGACCCATTTAGTGCCCGGATGCGTCGTAACTCCAGCGCTGCTGCGGGTTGGGCGGGGGCTTCGCATCGTGCCAAAACACGTGTTTTACTTGTTTTCCTTACAGCGGGGGCAGCATTGCATGCATTTTTGGTCGCTGTTGTCCTTTCAAAGGCCTCCTACAGGCTCCCAATCGTCGGCACTCTCCTGATAGACGCCCGCTTCCTCGACCTCTCCCTCAGTCTCTCCCTCCGCTCCTTGGCGCCCTTCCTCGTTCTTGGTGGCGAGCGTGGCTTGGTCGCAAATAACTGAGGTGGCAACAAATGGAGGCATGATGTGCTCATCTTTTTCGAAAGTTTGCGCCTGCCTTTCCTCGTTTTGACTCGTACACTCGCTCGGCTTGTCAGAGGGGATAGGAGGAAGAGCCGAGGGAGTCGCAACACGTTTGACCGTGAGGGACTCCCCCGTCGTCTGCTTTATTTCTTCCTTTTTGTGCTGTACTTCCCTGGGATCCTCGACGACCGTCCACGTTTGAGATCGGCGACGCTTGCTCGGCGCCCGGCCTTTCTCCTCAGTCGTGGGGGTCTCTGGCGCCTTCTGTTTCGGGACTTCGCGCACTTGCTTTTTGTGACTTTTCTTTCCAGTCGTCGATGTTACCATTGTTGTCGCAGTCGGAATACCCATCTGTCGGCTGCGTGCTGTACCTCCCCTTTCCCGCGCTCTACCGCCTCTCGTCCCGGCAAAGAGAGCTTTTGGATCCATATTGATTACATTGGTCAGAATACGTTGGGTGTCACCTTGAAAGGTACCACCCATCACCCTTTCCAAAAGTTTGGCCAATTGTGTACGTTGTTTTTCTTCCGGTAATTTGATATGGGCAGTTATGAATGCCTGAAGGTATTGCTTGCCGATTTGCTCTTGCAAAAGTGATACAAAAAACTCAAGCTCTTGCTCCGTCTTACTTCCGATGCCCTCCGCCAGTAGCTCAAGATTGTCCAGGCCAATTTTTTTAACTTCCGCTAGAAAGAGCTCTTTGTCTGATTCCGTCCTGATTCATTGTTGTACGGGAGAGTAATTGTATGGCCCATGTCGCATGCTTACAACCTTACGCTTCTTCTTTCATGATAATAAGGAGGATACTTACCAGTAAGAAGCTACAGTACGGACATTGAGGGTTGTAGATAGAAGCCCAATATTAGAACTAGTGGCTGATTGCCAAGACATGATGTGACTTTTTAAGTGGATAGCCTTCGGGGGTGAGGAAGGTTCATACACCGCAACAAGTAAAGGAGATCTGCAGTGAGCACTTATCAAAGTTGTCGCGACAAAAATATTTGACATGATCATTGCTCTTTTTCTCAGACACAAGGTATGCAGGGCCACGTTTTTACTGAAATAAATGTATCACAATTGGACCGGAAGCAAGGCTAATGAGGAGGTTTAGCATTCGCAGCAAGCAAACGAACGGCGAACATCGATGACGTCATGCTTCCACCTGCTTCCACCTGAGGCTTGTGTAAGTCCAGGAACATCCCTTTGGTGCTCACTGCTTCCTGCCGCCCGCATTTTCGGAACGAATGATGATACAGGAGGGGCCGGAGGAATGTTGCTGCGAACGACGATCACTCGAAAGGTGACACGCGCACCGCTTTGCTTCCCTCCTTGTCCTGTACTTTTCTTTATGACAACAGCTTTTTCATCGCAGCGACAAGTGGAAGAGGGCAGGCCTACGCAGGTCCTCTCGCCTGTCTTTTCTTCACAGTATATGGGTGTAAACTGGAATGGAAAAAACAACCGTTGGATCGCTGAGGTGCGGCACAAAAAGCAGCGACTGTTGCACAGGGCATTCTCTGATGAAGAAGAGGCGGCGCATGCAATCGACCGGGTCTTACGACAGCACTTCGGAGAGACGATTCTGACCAATTTTCATCATCCCTCCGGCGTGTTCTTAGATCCGAAGCATGCATTTGTCACAAAGGTGTCAACAGGAAGCAGTTCATCTTGCAGCGACAACACTTTTACTTCCACGGCGACATGGGCTGTCACGTACGTCGAAGGGCTCCGTCTCTACAAGGCGGTGATCAAACTGCGTGGGCGGCCACATCTCATTGGTCTATTCTCCTCCAGAGATCAAGCGATTGCAGTTATTAAGAAGAAGACACAGCCGAGGGAGAAGGGGGGCATGTCCAAGTCTCCTAAACAGTCTCGTTTCTTGGGGGTCTCCTGGGATTGTCACCACAAGAAATGGACCGCACGTCTATACCATGATGGGACGCGCGTTTTGTCTCAAACATTCAAGGAAGATCAGGAAGAGGAGGCTGCCCTCGTGTATGATATGTACGCGCGCAGGTTCGTCAAACGCGGGTGTGCGTGAATGTGGGAAGGCTTTATCTTCGTTAGTTTCTCGCCTGAATCCGCTGCATTGATTCTATTTCTTTTATACAACTGGCTAAAATACTACTTTCCTATGTTCTTGTCCATTCCCGTTTCCATATACACATCTTCCTAGGTACCACGGTGACGGCGCCTTTGTCAATTTCGACATGAACGGAAACTTCTTGGACCCCAAAAATCGATCGACCCGGATAGATGCCAGCGCCGGCGTAGACAAAGACAGTCAAAACATGGATTTTAGAGGTGTCTCGTGGTCCAAGGAGACCAATAAATGGTACGCGCAGATTCGCGTGGCAGGACGTACGTTCAACCTAGGATATTTCTCAGACGTCAAAGCCGCTGCCTTGCAGTACGACATGGCGGCGCGCAAATATCATGGGACATACGCGCGTTGCAATTTTGATTTACAAGGAAATCGAACGCAGGTTCGAATGAAGCTCAACAACTCGGCAGCTGCCAAGGTCAAATATACTGTGCGTGAGAACTCGGACAAAGAAGACGAGAACAGTTGACAACGAATGATTGTGATAAGAGTGTAATGGAACACATTCAAGTATCTGTGAATCATGATTTGCAAATCATTCGAAATAGTTTCTTGGCAGGCACGAATTCACTGATCATGTAGAGGGACTTGCGTTTCAAGAACTTTTTGAATGAAGTACCCGGGCTCAAGTTAGCCCCATTGTAGTTTTCGGAATCGTGCTCCGCATTCCTATACACTGAGAAAAGACAGTACCAAATAATTTGCATTATTTGGAACGAAAAGAGTAGTTTGCGGTGACTCGAGTTGCTTCCTGCCTCGGCCCATGCGTCGTCACGCGAGCCAACCCGGCGATCAGCCCAAGGGCAACTTGAAGGCATAATCACTGCACGTATGCCTCCATGCGCATTCCTCACTCATCGCATCAAACTGCACAGCTTTCCTTCGACGATGATGGGAATCCTTTTAAAGGGGTTGTTGGCGACCGTGATGCTTTGCCGGTGGAACGGCATTGCGTTTACAATTGCCTCTGGCCGCTTGGGAGGTTCTCCAAAGCGTCCTTGGGGTCACTGCGTAAACACAAGAGCCAGCATTATATCGACAGTCAACCCAGAAATAAATCAATGGCACTGGTTCCATACAGTTCGTGGGGGAGCTTTTCCTGTTGCTTCATCTTCGTCGCCCTCGCCGCCTGCTCCCCCTGGACAAAGCATGTTTAAGACGTTGAGAACAACGCCAGTGGAAGGAATGAAGCCAGGCACCTCCGGTCTTCGCAAGAAAGTAAAAGTCGTTCGAGATGGACTGTACCTCCATAATTTTGTTCAAGCGCTTTTCGACTCGCTGCCACCGCACGAAAAGGAAGGGGCAACGATGGTGGTGTCTGGAGATGGACGCCATTACAATCGGGAGGCGATCCAAATCATCATTGAAATTGCGGCCGCAAATGGCGTAGGACGTCTATGGATCGGTAAAGGAGGAATCATGTCTACGCCTGCTGTCTCTGCTGTCATTCGTGAGCGAGAAGGCGGCACTGCCATGGGGGGCATTATCTTGACAGCCAGCCATAATCCCGGTGGCCCGGAGGAGGACTTCGGGATCAAGTACAACATGCAAAACGGGGAGCCGGCCTTGGAGTCATTTACGGATGCAGTCTATGCCGCTACGTTGAGCATCGAGGAAATTAAGATCCTGGCCAATGCCCCCAAAGTAGATTTGGATGTCTTGGGTGTGACGCGAGTCGGAGAGATGGTGGTGGAGGTGATCGATCCGGTCCAGGATTATCTAGGCGTGTTAAAGGACGCGTTTGATTTTGAGGCACTTAGAAAATTCATTGCTCGCCCGGGTGGCTTCAAGCTTGTCTTCGACGCAATGCACGGCGTTGCGGCTCCGTACGCCCAGGTCGTGTTGGGCAAGGAGCTGGGATGCCCTCCCTCGACTTTCCTGCATGCGTCAAGCAAAGAGGATTTCGGAGGCTTGCACCCCGATCCGAACTTGGCCTATGCCTCAGACCTGGTAAAAGTGATGGGCTTGTTGCCCAGTGGTGCCCCCGATCCATCGATGGTGGAGGACAAGGACGTGCCAGACCTAGGGGCCGCTGCCGACGGGGACGCGGACAGGAACATGATCCTTGGAAAGCGTTTCTTCGTCACCCCTTCCGACTCCCTAGCCCTGATCGCTGCGAACGCGGATGCGATCCCTTTCTTCCGGGAGCAAGGCGGTTTGAGGACTGTGGCGCGGTCCATGCCTACCAGTCAGGCAGTGGACCAAGTGGCGCGGGCGAAGGGCTTGACCTGCGTCGAAACGCCGACGGGGTGGAAGTACTTTGGAAATTTAATGGACGCGCGGGCCTTGGGCAGTGCCCAAGATTACGTCCCCATCTTGTGCGGGGAGGAGAGCTTCGGGACGGGCAGCAACCATGTGCGTGAAAAGGACGGGATGTGGGCTGTGCTGGCATGGTTGTCTATCTTGGCTTCCCACAATCCTAACCCGGAGGCGCCGTTGAAGCCGATCAGCGCGATCGTTCAGGAGCATTGGGCAATCTATGGCAGGTAGGGTCAAAGGAATGAGGGATAAGGACCGAGCGGGGTGGTTCGGGTCCCACACGATGCGTTGTATGTAGCTTCCTTGATTTCAAATATTTTTCTGAGATCACTCTTATGTCCCCTTGGGCACGAGTGCTTGTATCGACCTTCATTTCGATAATATACCTTTGATGCATAGGAACTATTACTGCCGGTACGACTACGAAACGGTCGACTCGGACGCGGCAAACGCCATGATGGCCCATCTACGGGAGCCTGATTTCAAGCCGGGGCCGGTCCTCGACGGCTTTGTCCTGGCAGAGGTGGACGATTTCTCCTACAGTGATCCTGTGGACGGTCGTCAGGCTGTCAAGCAAGGTGTCCGCTTACTGTTCGAAGATGGGAGCCGGGCAGTCTTCCGTCTTTCAGGCACCGGGTCGTCGGGAGCAACCATTCGGATGTACCTAGAAAGGTACGAAGCGGATGTGAGCAAACAAGGGATGACAAGTTCAGAGGCTTTGAAGCCACTAGCGGACTTTGCGATCAAACTAGCAAAGCTGGAGCATTACACAGGGCGGAGGGCGCCAACCGTGATTACTTGAAGATGGTGCCAAGTCATTGAACGGATGTAGAACAGGATGCATGGCTGCTGCAAGGCTGTTTGTGCCAACGCCGCAAATGGAAAAGAAAGTAAGAAAAAAAATCCTACACAGACAACCTTTCTAGCACGAAAATGCCCTTGCGTACATCTTTTTGCGTCTCAGTAATATTATTTTCTTAATCGAAACCATTATTGTTCAAGTCATCGCTAAGACACTTCCATCGTGTGCTCTTAGCCGCATCTCGTTCCTCCCTCGCCATGGAACATGTCATTTAGGGCGACAAACCACAAATAACATAGAAGCTTTCATCGATAATGCCCCATCAGTCCTATTTAAATAGTCCAATACAAATATATAAGGGTTTGTCATTTCTCGTTTCCTCCGGCTGTCCCATGCTGTAGACATGTGTACGTAGCTAGAAGGAGCCCCCATATGTTCTTTCCGACGATACACATGGCTTTAATACTATCCCCATAGTGACAAAGCGTGGACACAGAAACACACACACATGCCACTCACATAGAAACGGCCAATCCACGATCGTTACATCTCCGCTTTCGTTTCCGGCAACGACTTGAATAATTGGGGCATCTGCTCACGCTCGTTTTACCCGACCGCAAAAAAAAATGGAGAGTGGCCACCATGCTTCAAGGAGAAGCTCGGTATATGTCCATCCCGCGTGCCTGCAAAGACAAGGTGAAGATGCACCCGGCGACCATAGTGTGTCATGTACCTGTTTGACGTTTACTACAGGGTGCCATGCTTTATTGGCTGGAATTGTGGACGCTTGTTTTCTGGAATACGAATATTTCCCCGCCCTGTATTAATTCCCTTCAAGCAGCAAGCTATCTTAACAAACGTTGTGCGGCCAAAGGAAAATAGCCGCCGAGTCCATAAGGGGTCTTCTGACTTCAAAATCTCGCGCATTCCAACGTGTAAATGTGCGATCGAAAGAGAAAGCATTGACACAGGGAATAAAAACTCCATCAATTGGAAAGATCTCTGGAATCGGTGGCACCCTGTTCCGTGAAGAAGCGAAGCTTTGCTTGCGGCCGTATGCTCATTACTCACCCACTGACTCGTTCACATAATAAAAGTCCCGCTAAAACCCTACAATTTCGCTTCCGACGCTCCATCATTCCATCATAGAAATTGACAGGTCTACTGAAATCATAGTTCCACCCGTTGGTGCGTGTCCTTCCTGCAATGTCAAACATCTCCTCAAGCAGCGCGTGGGCTGCGGAGGCCGAGCTCGCGGCCCATGATGGCGACATAAGTCGGGAGGCGGGCATACGACCTATAGATTCCATCAATACCATATCTGGCCCTACAATCACACATTATCCACCTCAGTCGCTACGTTGCCGCCGCAAGTCGTTCGCCGAGGTAAGGTTGAGGGGGCCCAGAAGAGGCGGGCGATCCCTTGTGTATGTTCCGCCTGTTGGTGGTGTCGGGGATTGATCACGGAGAGGTTTGCGAAGTAGTCAAGGCATACATATGTGCGCGTGGGAAAGACAACATTTTAATGTTTCTCGTGATATGGAGTAGTATGACAGTGAGCTTATTGTCATGTGCACAACTCATGTATTTATCTCTTATGTTTAGGTCTGTTGAAGCTTGCTTCGAGTTTACCCCCCCCCTACCAGAAAACCCTTACGAAATACCATGCGAGATTTTTTTCCTCATCCATCCCTTGCCCAACTCGTTTCTCAATTAGTCTTTATATCGTGCACTCCTTCGCCTGGACCCCGCCCGAAAGCCACGAATCCAAGCTGTCTTCCGCTACTTCAAGAACCACAAAGATCTTTCCCAAGATCAAGTCCATCATTCACTCATCGCTGCACTGGGTATTCATATCGTGCGCAAAGCTTGGACCGAGGCCCGGGCTGATATTCACGAGCTTCTCGTTGTTGAACCTGGGGACAACAATCATACCTTAGAGAATAAGAGCTCCCTCGTCGCCGCAGCGCCCCCGTCCGAGGACCCTCCGGTTGAAATGGGAACTGTCCCTGCTCCACCGACCTCCCCTCAGAGACAGGAAGAGAAGAAATACACCTATCATCCTGGAGAGGAGAGGAAGGAAGCAAGAGACAGAAAGGAAAAAGTGCTCAAGTTTCGCTTTCGTCACGGCCTGGGTAACGAGGACGGCCAGCTTGCGCATCCACCATTCAACGCCTGTATCACATCCATGGAGGATGATGTCCAGCTAAACGTTGAGGATGATCTGGCCGACAAGGCGCCACATGCCTTCGTTTGTCCCATTTCACTAGAGCTGATGACACGCGCGGTGGTTGCCGGCGACGGCTTTGCCTATCAACAGGAGGCCTTGGATGAATGGATTCTGCAGAAACGTCGAGAGCATTCCCCACTTCATTCACCCATGACTAATGCACCGATGGCACCTTTTTATATTCCATCATTTACACTCCGGAGTCTCATTGGGGACTACGTAGAAAAAGTGCGGACGAAAAGGCCGCGAGTAGATTAAGACGCGAGGGAGCTTAAGCTCAAATTGATGGGAGGTTGGACGTCGGATATGGCACAAGGAATGAAAACATGGAATATGAAGAGAGGAGATTGCCACCAAAACAGTGAGAAAGGTCTGCTTCCTATTTTGCACAGACCATGAGTGAATTGGACAACCTACGACAGCAACGAATAGTCATCTTATAGACATACATCATAACGATCTTTCCTAATGGCTCTTGCTTTACAGCAATGATTGTGGTGTACATGGTTTGAAGACAGCGAAAAGGCTCACAAAGGGTGTCGACTTTCTGCAAGCGTCGGGAGATCTGTCTTGACAAGGCAAGTCCATATATGCAAGATATTTTATAGATGAATGTATAGCCCCTTTCAAAGGGCAGGACGCTTTTAAAAGATTTCCTTTCAAAGAGCGGAGAGATTTTAGAAAGAATGAAAAGATGACGTGATAGATTGACAAGGCGATATACCAATGAGATGCACAGTCTTTAAGACTTGAAACACGAGAAGATATCGCGAATAAATGGCGGCATCACAAAGCGAAAAAAATTCTTTTGTACACTTTTCATCATGGAAACTTCTTAAAAATCCCAAATGTGCTCGCACGTATGCGACATGACTACGTTCCTTATAATTACTTCCAAACACCTGTCGTCCTTCTCCCTCCAACAAAGAGTAAAATGAGACTTTACCTACGTGAATAGCATATGCAAATGGGCGCGAGTCAGGAGAGGTATCAACACTGAGAAGAGACAATGTGAAGTAAATCTGTCTGGGCGCCAGCGCTCCCGAATTAAAGTGACTTGCGCTCTGACGTCGCCCATCGCAATGTTGACTGTTCCTGGCAAGTAATGAAGCATGCCTTCCAGAGGTTGCAACTCATACAAATCGAATATGGAATACCTTTTAAGACATTCCATCTATTTTTTGTGTTGTCTAAGTGACTAACGGGTCGAAACATGAAGCCAACGTTGACTTAGTTGTTGGAGCTATCGCTGAATTTTGGTTTTCCGTTTGGATACCCGGCAGCTTGTCCACAGGCATAATAACAATGTTTGCTATAGAACATACGGTGCAATATATCAGCGCGTCTTCCACTCGAACCAAATGTGAAAGCAACACATGCTATATCTGGATGTCATTGGCAGCCCGGTGGAATAAGTGGCCACCGCACTGAAAGGGAAGGCTCGAGGCCCATACGACAAATATGTACCTGCCCGTGTTCTATAAATTGTGACCATATGAACCCACATTCCGACCACAGGCGGCTCAAAAATTATTTTCAGATGAATAAATGACAAACAAAATCAGCATTTCTCGCGACAGACGAGAAAGTGATCGTGCACTTCCCCACGATAAGACGTTGCCATCCTCCTCGAGCGCCCCTAAGCCCCTCTCTCAGCATTATCTCCCTCCGTCGTTCGCTGCAACACACTCAGCGATGATTAGCCCAGAGGAACACACAAATAACTTCAATCGACTTGTTGAGATGGAGGACATGCGGAAAGGGTCCTCGAATTCTCTCTCGCAAGATGCTGAGAACAGCATAGATGGCCCCGCCCATTCCACTCTCTTCCTGACATTGAGCAAAGCGGAGCTTAATGCCCTCTATCTAGTCCATCCTGATGAATCAAACACCTCAAATGTCCACCTCCAGCACATCGAAAGGCCACCGCACAGTGCACTCGAGCGGAACATGACAGAGCTTCGTGATATGATGCGAGGAGTCAAGGCTCTCCTTAGTGCCATATCCGCGTCTGTTGCCGCTTCCTCGAGTCATCAACAGCTCAGCACCTCCGCATCTTGCATCCCCAGCGTACATGGGGGCGAGAAAATGGTCGCTGTGGAAGTTAGCGTGCTTCTTGAGAGCATGCGCACCCTTCTTGGCTTGCTCTGGACGTTCTATCACCCACATGCGGATACCGGCCTGGGTATGAATGGTACGAAGGTGAGGACAACCGTGCTACGTGCCACACGCTATGTGCTTCTAGCAGGAGACCACACGTCGACAGCCGCCTGGCACATAATAAGTCATCGCTAAGACACTTCCATCGTGTGCTCTTAGCCGCAT